ACCCGTGGGCTCAGGCAATCCACTCACCTCAACCTCCCAAAGGCACGGGATTACAGGCTGAGCCACCGAGCCTGGTTTTTTTGATTTATTGTAGAGACAAAGTCTCGCCAAGTTGCCCAGGCTGGTCTTGAACCCGTAGGCTCAGGCAATCCTCTTACCTCCACCTCTCAAAGTGCTGGGATTGCATAGATTCTCTTTCACCTAAGAACTAAACCATGCTGCCTTAGGGTTTTTTATTATTATTGCTATTAAAACAGCATCACAGTATTCAATTACAGGATGTGTTGACAGACATTGCGATTGTTCCCAATTCTTCATTATTAGAAATAATGTAGCGGGGCGCGGTGGCTCAAGCCTGTAATCCCAGCATTCTGGGAGGCTGAGGTGAGAGGATTGCCTGCATCCAGGGGTTCGAGACCAGCCTGGGCAACTTGACAAGACCTCGTCTCTACAATAAATCAGAAAAAAAAATTAGCTGCAAGATGAATTCCTACAAGTGGAATTGTGTCAAGGGTTATGTACATCTAGAGTTTTGACAGATATTACCAAACTATCTTCAGTAAAGGCTCCACAAAGGTTATTTCAAGTGTAAGAGTGAGTGCAAAGGAAAACAAGACGGTAAAGAGATAAGAACAGCTGGTAGGCGGCTGAATCACAGGGATTCCTCTTTGAGGAGGCAGAGAAAGCAGAACCAATTGGGCATTCATAGAAGGTGGTCACAGCGATGAGATCCGGACACATAGTGACAGCAAAAGGAACGGGGTGGGGAGGGATTTGGTATAGAGGCCTAGAAAAATGAGAAAAGGGGAAGTGGGCTCCAGGAACGTAGGGAGAATAAGACAAGGAGAACAGGAACCGTGAGTGGCTGTCTGGAAGCAACCTCCAGCTCAGGGGTTTGGCTGGCAATCAGGAGTGAACCCTGAGAGGAAAGCTAAGGAGATAGTGAGCTGGGAGAAGTTCATTCCTCCGTCCTTGCGTTATGCGGAAAACAATCATCTGTCAGAAGAGGGGAAAGAAGACAAACTAGTTAGCAGTCTACTTAGCAGACAGGCTAGCCCCACCAGGCCCCCAGAGTAGATGGAGCCGGCAGAGTGACAGGTCAGACTTTGGGCTGAATTCCATCCACCCCCACACACTCTGTCCTTTCCAAGATCCAGCTCCCAGGACCAAGGGGCATAGGGCTTACCCTACCACTCCCTTCTTCCCATCCCCAAGAGAGCAAAGGTCTAGAGCAGCAATAAAACCAGCCCGTCCTCCTGCTGCCAGCCCTCAGAACCTCTCCAGGGAAAGGTAGACACCACCTCCTAGACCCCGCCTCCATAAGAGTGGGGGATGGGGGAGGTGGAGGCAAGAGAAGAGGAGCCAAAGAAGAGCAAGCCACTTGGCCTCCAGCTGTAGGAATCTGTCCCTAACCAGCCCCGGCAGGGCAAGAAAAGAGAAACAAACTAACCCACTGGGGGAGAATTTCTCAGCCCATTAGAAGAATCAAAGAATAATCAAAGGTTTAGAAGCCCCGAGCACTGTGGCCCCACCCAGCATGCCTCATCCACACCAGCTCTTTTTTTTTGAGTTGGAGTCTCACTCTGTCGCCCAGACTGGAGTGCAGTGGCTGCTCTCGGCCACCGCAGCCTCGACCTGCTGGGCTCCGGTAATCCCTCTGCCTCAGCCTTCCATGTAGCTGGAACTACAGGCGCGCGCTACCACACCTGGCTAATTTTTTGATTTATTGTAGAGATGAGGGCTCACCAAGTTGCTCAGGCGGGTCTCGAACCCGCGGGCTCAGGCAATCCACTCACCTCAGCCTCCCAAGGCACGGATTACAGGCTGAGCCACCGAGCCCAGCCCACACCAGCTCTTAATGGCTCTCCCCGTCCAGGTCCAGCCTCTCTAACTGGACTCATCTGGGAATGAACCCCTTGACAAACACAGCTTCTCTCACTTCCCAAAGCACAGCAGTGCCCTGAAAATCACCTAGAATGGCCTGGAGCTCACACTCAGTCCAGGCCCTACCTAGTTCCCTAAATACCTTAGGAAATTCCCACTCTGCCCTATCTTGTGCCAAACAGGCCAGTCCTGGGGGTTTCCAGATAAGGATAGCTGATCCCAAGACCATGTGGCCCCATCCCAACTCAGCTCCTTCGCCAGACTCAGAGTTTCAGACTCTGGCCCAGGAAGGGGACTCCCATGGAGCCTCTGTCAGAGCAGGAAGGGCATAGGCAGCTCAAGCCATTACCTCCTCCTACACTTTCTGCTGCTTCCTTGTGGAACAGGCTCCAGCGCTGGTCCAGTGGGACTCGATAACCCACTCTGGATTCCCCCCACCCCGCCCCAGAATCTTCATGCCACCCCTCCTGAGAGACCCAGGGGTGCTACTGGAAGGACAGGAAAAGAGAACCCTTAGCCTGGCAGAGACTAGCCCACGAAAAGGCTGGAGAGGAGAGTCCCTTCTCCACACTTTCTCCAGAATTGAGACCACCCCCGGGCCCCAGCCCAGCCCAGTCCTGGCGCCTGGACTTCCCAGTCTCCAGTTCTGACATCCTCTGGGCTATCTTGGGTCAAAGTGCGAGGTTTCTACCAGAAAGATGGCCTTGGGTGAAAAACAGCACAGAATTCTGGAGGTCTCCTCTGGGGTGAATCCCAGGCCTACCATTTATGGGCAGTTATCCTGGGCAAATTATTTAAACGGAAGTCTCGGTTTTCCTAACCCCTAAACTGGGATGACTACTAACAGCATCTTTTTTGGAGGTTGCTGTCATGAGGCCTAAGTGAGAGGATGTGTGGCACAGCAGTAGTAAACTGTCAAGTACTAACAGAGGTTATCGGTAGTGACTCTTCTCTATCCTGAAGTCCCATGTGGCCAGAGCACCAGGTAGAGACCATGGGGAATGAAGGCTCTGGACTGGCATTGGTTGCAGTTGCCTGTTCCGTTCCAGGAGGAAAGAGGAGGACTCCTGAACCCACTCTTCCCTTATCCCTGGAAGTAAACAAGCCTTGGCTACCAGATCTGAAGCAGGGAGAGCCCTGCCTGGCTCACGCACAGGTACACACCTGCCCGGACAGCTGACATCCCTCCCCTACCAGGTACACATACCAACTGGGCTGACTCACCCAGCAAGCCTGCACACCCCCACCCCAGAGCTGTAGGCTACTGTGCCCACAACACCACCCCCCTGCTTTGGTCAACTGCAGAATGGGTTGTTATTTAGTGTCTGGAGGTCTGGCGGTTTTGCCAGGCCACCAAAAGGCCTATCAGTTTCCGGGGATAGAGAGATGCTAACCCGTCTCACGTCCAGCCAGTGGAGGAGACTATGGCCAGACTCACTTGGCAGGGTCTCAAGGTGACCAGGACAGTGGTTGCCCAGGGTGCTTTTCTAGTCACCAGGTTTCATTCAGACAGCTCACTCCCTCACTCAGCCTCTCAGAACCCGAGGTCAGGATTCCTGGGGGTTGGATGGCCTCTTCTCTCCAGTACACAGCCCAGCGCCAAAGGCCTCTTTGTGAGCACCAGCCCATCACCTCTGAACATCCTGAACTCAGGAGCCAGAGCCTGGCTCTAGGATGTCACCCCTCCCCACCTACACACCCTTGCCTTTGTTTACTGTTTTTTTGAGTCGGAGTCTCACTTTGTCACCCAAGCTGGGGTTCAGGGGTACGCTCAGGGCCACCACAGCCTCGACCTGCCGGGCTCAGGCGATCCTTCCATCTGAATCTTCCAAGTAGCTGGAATCACAGGCATGCGCCCCCACACCTGGCTAATTTTTTTGATTTATTGTAGAGATGAGGTCTCGCCAAGTTGCCCAGGCCGGTCTCGAACCCCTGGACTCAGGCAAATCTCTTGCCTCCGCCTCCCAGGGAGCTGGGATTACAGGCGTGAGCCACCGCTCCCCGCGGGTTTTCAGTTTGTTTTGCTCACTCTTCATTCGAGTCTGATGTTTACTGTTTACACCGCTTACTCCTCAGGAGGGCCTGTGGTAGAAGTGGACGCCCCTCCTCACCTCCCTTCCAATGCTCGCCTCTGCCGGGACTCCATAACCAGCCCCTTTCTGAGTCTCCCCACGCCCACCCACCCCGGCTCGCTCCGACTTACCTCCGAAGCCCTGGGTCCTCAGCTCGCGGTAGGAGCGGTAAACCTCCCGCGTGAGGTAGTTGATGAAGCCCTCCCTGGGCGCGAACTTGCACACGAAGTTCTGCTCGTAGAGGCAGTTTATGAGGAAGCAGGAGGCGACGGCGTCTTCCCCGCGGTCGGGCTGCAGCTCCACCAGCGCCAGGTTGCAGTTCTGGGTGGCGCAGCAGGCGCGCACGCAGTCCCAGCCGCGGCGCGCCGGGGGGGACTCCAGGAAGGTGGCCCCGTTGCTGACCGAGGCGTTGGTGTCCAGCACGAAGGCAGGCACCCCGGCGGTGAAGCGGTTCAGGCACTCGGCTCCCGCGGGCGGCGGCCC